TCAATTAAAAGCCCGAGAGCATGGCATTTCATTGGCCGACAGCTGTGACAGACAGACAGCGTGCTGCTTGCCTCAGGAACACACCGACAGAAAAAACATCCAAGAAGAAGAAACATGGAACAACCAACCAGCTGCAGCAAAGAACAGAACCGAAAAAGAACTCCATGTCTAGTCATGTCAAGTCAAGAACATTCAGAGAACCTGCCGTTTACTGGTAAAGAAGCACAGTGGCACAGGCTGTCTGCAAGAAAAGAACATCAGTAGAACCGACTGTCTATAGGCAAAGAACATCAGTAGAACCGACTGTCTATAGGTAAAGAACATCAGTAGAACCCACTGTCTATAGGTAAAGAAAATCAGTAGAACAAGCTATTTATAGGTAAAGAACATCAGTAGAACAAGCTATTTATAGGCAAAGAACATCAGTAGAACCGCCTGTCTATAGGTAAAGAACATCAGTAGAACCCACTGTCTATAAGTAAAGAAAATCAGTAGAACAAGCTATTTATAGGTAAAGAACATCAGTAGAACAAGCTATTTATAGGCAAAGAACATCAGTAGAACCGCCTGTCTATAGGTAAAGAACATGAGAAGAACCAGCTGTCTGTAGGTAAAGAACAAGCTATTTATAGGTAAAGAACATCAATAGAACCCACTGTCTATAGGTAAAGAACATCAGTAGAACCGACTGTCAATAGGTGAAGAACATCAGTAGAACCCACTGTCTATAGGTAAAGAACATCAGTAGAACTCACTGTCAATAGGTGAAGAACATCAGTAGAACAAGCTATTTATAGCTAAAGAACATCAGTAGAACAAGCTATTTATATGTAAAGAACATAAGTAGAACCGACTGTCAATAGGTGAAGAACATCAGTAGAACCGACTGTCTATAGGCGAAGGGTTCTTTAGGTGAAGAACATCAGTAGAACAAGCTATTTATAGGTAAAGAACATCAGTAGAACAAGCTGTCTATAGGTAAAGAACATCAGTAGAACCAGCTGCCTGCAGGTAAAGAACATATTGGGGGGAGCCATGCTGATCTGCTTCCGGTCCTAGAAAAGAGAACAAACACGAGGAGGAGCTCAGAGTGAGGAGGTGAATCTGCAGATAACGGAACCTCAATAAAGACAGACTAAATATACCAGTGATGTCATGCCGTTTGGCCTCTGACACTGATACGACTCTCTACTGCTTATTTTTAACTTCCAGCGATTACACGTTTAAGCTCTTCTGACTCAACAGATCAAACGTTAGAAGAACAAAGACGCTGCTGCAAAGAACACTGAGAAACGTTTAACTCGCTCAGCTCTCAGCTCCTCGTTCTTAAGCATCTGCAGTAACGAACTGCTAACGAGTCGGCAGGTCAGAGAAACAAATCAGTGAGAGGAAAACGTCCTGAAACACTGTGTGTGAGTGTGTTACTGTGTGTGAGTGTGTGTGAATGTGTTACTGTGTGCGACTGTGTGTGTGAGTGTGTGTGAGTGTGTGTGTGTGTGTGTGTGTGTGTGTGTGTGTGGCAGTAAAGGGTATTAGAGAAGATTACTGTTGTTCACACTGACAGCAGAGAGAGAAAGAGCTACATGGTTCAGATTAGATTGAACTTGTACCATTTATAAGAACATTAAATGGAGCCTGCAATCACTGGTCAATCGATGCTTCGCTGCTGCTCGGTGTGTGTGTGTCTGCATTATTAAACCAGACGAGTTACAGCGGAAAACAGTGCATCAAGTCTCTTTTCTCCAGCTCAGACCTGCTTTATCTGAGTGAGAGCACATGCAGAACTTCCATTTAAAAAGTTTGAAAATTAACGTTGTAAAGCTTCCTGCTTGCTACAGACCGTGTGGTATAGTGAGGAAGGTGCGTTTGTTTCCTTAGCGGTCGGCTGGGTATATTAAAAACCGCCTAGGCACATTAACGGCGGCCCGGGTATTTTTACGGCAATTCGGGTATATTGACGGCTGCCCGGGTACATTAACGTCTGCCCAGGTACATAAAGAGCTGCACGGGTATATTACAGCTGGCAGGTACAAAATACGGCCGCCTGTGTATATTAACAACCGGAAGAGTACAAAAACGGCTGCCCAGGTATATTAACAGCTGGCGAGTACAAAATATGGCCGTCTGGGTTTATTAACAGCTGCCCGGGTATATTAACGACCACCCGGGTATATAAAAGGCCGCTCGGGTATATTAACAGCTGCTTCGGTATATTAACAGCCGGCGGGTACAAAAGTGCCTGACCGGGTATATTAATAGCTGGCGGGTACAAAATACGGCTGCCTGTGTATATTAACAGGTGGAGGGTACAAAAACAGCTGCCCGAGTATATTAACAGCTGGCGGGTACAAAATACGGCTGCCTGCGTATATTAACAGCTGCTTGGGTATATTAACATCCGGCAGGTACAAAATATGGCTGCCTGCATATATTAACAGCTGGAGGGTACAAAAACAGCTGCCCGGGTATATTAACGACCACCCGGGTACATAAAAGGCCGCTAGGGTATATTAACAGCTGCCTGTGTATATTAACAGCTGGAGGGTACAAAAACAGCTGCCCGGGTATATTAACAGCTGGCGGGTACAAAATACAGCTGGCGGGTACAAAATACAGCCGCCTGGGTATATTAACAGCCAGCGGGTACAATATATTAACAGCCGGCGGGTACAATAGTGGCTGCCCGGGTATATTAACAGCTGGCGGGTACAAAATACGGCTGCCTGTGTATATTAACAGCTGGAGGGTATAAAAACAGCTGCTCGGGTATATTAACAGACGGAGGGTACAAAAACAGCTCCCCTACATTACCAGCCACCCGGGTATATACACGGCCACCCAGGTAAATAAATGACCGTCCAGGTGACTACTACACAAACACAGTAACACACAGTAGTACTACACAGTACTACACAGATAGAGTATCAGCAGCTGCCTACAGATCTTAAATTGGAGCTGGACTCCTGCCGTCACACACAACCTGCGCCATCTGTCTCTCTCTCTCCCTATCTGCCTGCACCTCGCTCGCCCGGCCTCTCTGTGGTGGAGGGTTAGTTAGATTTAATGCCCTGCCTCGCCCTGCTCACTGCTCCACATATCAGCCGGGAGAAGATCGAACCGTAGAGAGTCACTGTGTATTACTGTGTGTGAGTGTGTGTTTGTTACTGTGTTACTCCGTGTGTGTGTGTCCGTTGGGAGAGAAGCTGTTTGCTCTCTGATTGCCTGGATTGGCTGCAATTAGTCACACACACACACACACACACACACACACACACACACACACACTCACTCACTCACACCTCCTCTTTTATTGAAAAGAAAGGAGGTGACAAACTCTTCTCTTGTTTCCCTCCCCTCTCCTCTCTCCTCTCTCCTCCCTCATCTCCTCCTATAAATCACAGGACAGTAACCACCTCTTCTCTCTTGTCCCCCCTCCCTCTCTCCTCCCCCTCTCCTCTCCCCCTCTCCTCCTATCCTCTCTCGCACCCCCCCTCCCCTTTCCCTCTCCCCCTCCCCTCCTATCCTCTTTCCCTCTCCTATCCTCTCTTGTCCCCCCTCCCTCTCTCCTCCCCCTCTCCTCTCCCCCTCTCCTCCTATCCTCTCCCCCTCTCCTATCCTCTCTGACTCCCCCTCCCTCTCTCCTCCCCCTCTCCTCTCCTCTCCCCTTCTCTCCTCCCCCTCTCTCCTCCCCCTCTCCTCTCCCCTTCTCTCCTCTCCCCTTCTCTCCTCCCCTCTCTCCTCCCCCTCTCCTCTCTTATCCTCCTCCCTCTCTCCTCCCCCTCTCCTCTCCCCCTCTCCTCCTATCCTCTCCCCCTCTCCTATCCTCTCTTACCCCCCCCCCCACTCCTCCTCCTCTCCGCCTATAAATCACATTAAACAGGACAGTAACCACCTCCTCTCTGTGTGTCCTCGCTCAGCCTGTCTCTCACGTGATTGGCTATGTGATTTAAGAGCGCTGCATTCTCATTCGTCAGTGGCCTAACCTCTGCGAGCATGTGACAAACGGCGCTCCCTGTGTTATCTCTCTGGGTTCAGCGCCGCTGTCCGTCTATAACTCAGAGCGCGGCGGTGGCAGGTCAATAGCAGATAACGCAGCGCTGCAGCAGCTTTCTCTCTGCTGCCTTCAGGTACAAACTCCTCAATACTTCATTATTCTCCCTCTCAAACATCCACGCCGCTTCTGTTAGAGGTGAACACAGAGGAGCGTTTAGCACTTACAGAGCCAGATATTTCCCTCAAGAGCTGGTGGAGACCAAACACAGAGCTAACAGAGAGAATTCCGGACTCAGCGTTATCAGGTGACACAACCACGCCTCACCATGAAGCACCGTGTTGCTCTGTAGCTGCTGGAGGAGGAAACAAGAAGCTGTCTGATGTTTCTAATGTTGCTTTCATGTTGCGAGGCAGCAGCAGAGTCACCGTCTGTTTAACTGGCCAGAGACTTTACTTGAATGGGCCGTCCGGGTATTTTAAGGCCACCCAGGTACATTAACCATTACCCGAGTACATTAACAGCTACCCGGGTAAATTAGCGCCCGCAGGGTATGTCTATGGCCGCCTTAGCAAATTAACGGCCACTCAAGTATCATTAACAGCAACCTGGGTATATGAACAGCCACCCGGTTACAATAACGATTACCCAGGTACACTAACGGCCGCTAGGGTACATTAACAGCCACCCGGGTACTTTAACTTAGGTGCAATAACAGCCCAGAGAGAGACAGGAAGAGGCGGAGCAAGCCGGTGGAGGCAATTCAAGTAGTCAGAAAACACTAAAATAAGGTGGAGAATGACACAAAATTTAAATGATAAAATAAGAAACACTGAACACTGCAGCACATAAACACAATCCATGCATCTTTGTTTCAGAGAACCCCTGTAGGTTCCCTGAGGAACATCTCCTGCAAGAAGCCATGAACCCGAGGGTGCTCTCAGGTTCTTAAAACAGACGTAAAGACAGGTGGCCAGACAGACAGGGATGCACAGAGACAGACCGGTACCTGCAGGGATCCACGGGTTGCTGGCCGGGCGGTCTCGGGTGTCTCCTTGCTCCCAGTCGAAGTCGTCATCTTTGGACTGGACCAGAGTGCAGTCTGGAGACTGGCCAGAAAGACAGGCTGAAAGGCAGACAGACAGGTGGTCAGTTATTTAGAGTGTTTAGATACAGACAGTCACTGCTCCCTCTATAACCGCACTGCATTGTGGGATTGTTAGCATGAAGTAGGGTACCTGTTGGACTCCACTTGTTGTTCCGCTGTATAATGTTTAAGGGCAACACACTTAGAATTTAAACACTCAAACAAAATGGTGGACAGCAAACATTATGCACTATATAGTAAACAGGAAGTGATGTTTTTGGTAAGTTGGGCGAGGACAGGAAGCAGGAAGGACCAGGTGTGAATGCATCAGGTGTCTCTGACCTCGTGCTGTAACACCCGCAGAATAAACTCTGACTTCTTATTTGGTATTTCCATCCGTTTGAAGCAACCGGAGCAGCTTGTAAACATATAATGTTCCTCAGAGTGAGACAGCTCCAGTTCATTAACATTTCCCAGCATCCTCCCTGCTGGTTACTCACACACACACACACACACACACATAGATAATAGATGTAAACCCTCCTTCTTCCCTCGAGACTCAGAGACGTCTAAATCCCTCCATTCACACACACCCCGACTCTGTGTGTGTGTGTGTAAATATATATTGTGACATCGGGGGGTTTGACGCCTCGTCAGCCTCTTCAGTGTAATGACTGTGTGTGTGTGTGTGTAGCTGTCATCTCAAAGCGTTGACATTAAATAGCTGGAAGGCTCATTTTCTTCCTTTGTAACAGAAGGCACATTAAACACACACACTCTCTCTCTCTCTCTCTCATCCCGCAGGACAGTGTTAGCTCATCAACAGATATGAGACACAATCTGTTTAATCTGCTTCTATGAATTTGCATCTATATAACAAAGTGAGCACACACACACACACACACACACACACACACACACACACACACACACACACACACACACAAACTCTCAGAGGAAAACACACAGAAAAGCAATCTCAGCCTCTTGATTGCCCAACACTGAACTGTAGAGAGAGATTTGTGTGTGTACTGATACTTCTATTGTTACTGCTAACACTACTGCTACGATTGTTACTGCTAACACTATTGCTACTATTGTTACTGCTAACACTACTGCTACTATTGTTACTGCTAACACTACTACTACTATTGTTACTGCTAACACTACTGCTACTATTGTTACTGCTAACACTACTGCTACTGTTACTGCTAACACTACTGCTACTACTGTTACTGCTAACACTACTACTACTGTTACTGCTAACACTACTGCTACTACTGTTACTAGTAACACTATTGCTACTATTGTTACTGCTAACACTACTACTACTACTACTACTACTGCTAACACTACTGCTACTATTGTTACTGCTAACACTACTGCTACGATTGTTACTGCTAACACTATTGCTACGATTGTTACTGCTAACACTACTGCTACTATTGTTACTGCTAACACTACTGCTACTACTACTACTGCTAACACTACTGCTACTACTGTTACTGCTAACACTACTACTACTACTACTACTACTGCTAACACTACTGCTACTATTATTACTGCTAACACAACTGCTACGATTGTTACTGCTAACACTACTGCTACTATTGTTACTGCTAACACTACTGCTACGATTGTTACTGCTAACACTATTGCTACTATTGTTACTGCTAACACTACTGCTACTATTGTTACTGCTAACACTACTGCTACTACTACTACTGCTAACACTACTGCTACTACTGTTACTGCTAACACTACTACTACTACTACTACTACTGCTAACACTACTGCTACTATTATTACTGCTAACACAACTGCTACGATTGTTACTGCTAACACTACTGCTACTATTGTTACTGCTAACACTACTGCTACGATTGTTACTGCTAACACTATTGCTACTATTGTTACTGCTAACACTACTGCTACTATTGTTACTGCTAACACTACTGCTACGATTGTTACTGCTAACACTACTGCTACTATTGTTACTGCTAACACTACTGCTACGATTGTTACTGCTAACACTACTGCTACTATTGTTACTGCTAACACTACTGCTACTATTGTTACTGCTAACACTACTGCTACTGTTACTGCTAACACTACTGCTACTACTGTTACTGCTAACACTACTACTACTGTTACTGCTAACACTACTGCTACTACTGTTACTAGTAACACTATTGCTACTATTGTTACTGCTAACACTACTGCTACTACTGTTACTAGTAACACTATTGCTACTATTGTTACTGCTAACACTATTGCTACTATTGTTACTGCTAACACTACTGCTACTACTGTTACTAGTAACACTATTGCTACTATTGTTACTGCTAACACTACTACTATTGTTACTGCTAACACTATTGCTACTATTGTTACTGCTAACACTACTGCTACTACTGTTACTAGTAACACTATTGCTACTATTGTTACTGGTAACACTACTGCTACTACTGTTACTAGTAACACTATTGCTACTATTATTACTGCTAACACTACTACTACTACTGTTACTGCTAACACTACTGCTACTACTGTTACTGCTAACACTATTGCTACTATTGTTACTGCTAACACTATTGCTACTATTGTTACTGCTAACACTACTGCTACTACTACTACTGCTAACACTACTGCTACTATTGTTACTGCTAACACTATTGCTACTATTGTTACTGCTAACACTACTGCTACTGTTACTGCTAACACTACTGCTACTACTGTTACTGCTAACACTACTACTACTGTTACTGCTAACACTACTGCTACTACTGTTACTAGTAACACTATTGCTACTATTGTTACTGCTAACACTACTGCTACTACTGTTACTAGTAACACTATTGCTACTATTGTTACTGCTAACACTATTGCTACTACTGTTACTAGTAACACTATTGCTACTATTGTTACTGCTAACACTACTACTATTGTTACTGCTAACACTATTGCTACTATTGTTACTGCTAACACTACTGCTACTACTGTTACTAGTAACACTATTGCTACTATTGTCACTGCTAACACTACTGCTACTACTGTTACTAGTAACACTATTGCTACTATTGTTACTGCTAACACTACTACTACTGTTACTGCTAACACTACTGCTACTACTGTTACTAGTAACACTATTGCTACTATTGTTATTGCTAACACTACTGCTACTACTGTTACTGCTAACACTACTACTACTATTGTTACTGCTAACACTACTGCTACTATTGTTACTGCTAACACTATTGCTACTATTGTTACTGCTAACACTACTGCTACTGTTACTGCTAACACTACTGCTACTGTTACTGCTAACACTACTACTACTACTGTTACTGCTAACACTACTGCTACTTCTGTTACTAGTAACACTATTGCTACTATTGTTACTGCTAACACTATTGCTACTATTGTTACTGCTAACACTACTGCTACTATTGTTACTGCTAACACTACTGCTACTACTACTACTGCTAACACTACTGCTACTATTGTTACTGCTAACACTATTGCTACTATTGTTACTGCTAACACTACTGCTACTGTTACTGCTAACACTACTGCTACTACTGTTACTGCTAACACTACTACTACTGTTACTGCTAACACTACTGCTACTACTGTTACTAGTAACACTATTGCTACTATTGTTACTGCTAACACTACTACTACTGTTACTGCTAACACTACTGCTACTACTGTTACTAGTAACACTATTGCTACTATTGTTATTGCTAACACTACTGCTACTACTGTTACTGCTAACACTACTACTACTATTGTTACTGCTAACACTACTGCTACTATTGTTACTGCTAACACTATTGCTACTATTGTTACTGCTAACACTACTGCTACTGTTACTGCTAACACTACTGCTACTATTGTTACTGCTAACACTACTGCTACTATTGTTACTGCTAACACTACTGCTACTGTTACTGCTAACACTATTGCTACTATTGTTATTGCTAACACTACTGCTACTACTGTTACTGCTAACACTACTACTACTATTGTTACTGCTAACACTACTGCTACTATTGTTACTGCTAACACTATTGCTACTATTGTTACTGCTAACACTACTGCTACTGTTACTGCTAACACTACTGCTACTGTTACTGCTAACACTACTACTACTACTGTTACTGCTAACACTACTGCTACTACTGTTACTAGTAACACTATTGCTACTATTGTTACTGCTAACACTATTGCTACTATTGTTACTGCTAACACTACTGCTACTATTGTTACTGCTAACACTACTGCTACTACTACTACTGCTAACACTACTGCTACTATTGTTACTGCTAACACTACTGCTACTATTGTTACTGCTAACACTACTGCTACTGTTACTGCTAACACTACTACTACTGTTACTGCTAACACTACTGCTACTACTGTTACTAGTAACACTATTGCTACTATTGTTACTGCTAACACTACTGCTACTACTGTTACTAGTAACACTATTGCTACTATTGTTACTGCTAACACTATTGCTACTATTGTTACTGCTAACACTACTGCTACTACTGTTACTAGTAACACTATTGCTACTATTGTTACTGCTAACACTACTACTATTGTTACTGCTAACACTATTGCTACTATTGTTACTGCTAACACTACTGCTACTACTGTTACTAGTAACACTATTGCTACTATTGTTACTGCTAACACTACTACTACTGTTACTGCTAACACTACTGCTACTACTGTTACTAGTAACACTATTGCTACTATTGTTATTGCTAACACTACTGCTACTACTGTTACTAGTAACACTATTGCTACTATTGTTACTGCTAACACTACTACTACTGTTACTGCTAACACTACTGCTACTACTGTTACTAGTAACACTATTGCTACTATTGTTATTGCTAACACTACTGCTACTACTGTTACTGCTAACACTACTACTACTATTGTTACTGCTAAAAATACTGCTACTATTGTTACTGCTAACACTATTGCTACTATTGTTACTGCTAACACTATTGCTACTATTGTTA